CAAGAAATGCAACCACAGTGGATGTAATGTGAACACACCGCCATTGGTGGCTTCAAGTCTGATGCACTCCACAGCTACACTAAGCTTACTACTCCCAGTGGTTGGAAACGGACTAATTTGGAACAGATTTAGAAGGAAGATGGCAACATCTGTTTAAATGAGAATCCTCTAGATTATTGTCAAAGCTCAAATTTTATTTCAACTCTGCTATAGTATAATGTCATTTAAGTTAGACCATTTAAAAAAATATTTTATTTATTTATTTGAGAGAGAGAAAACAAGACAGAGAAAGAGAGAGTAGAGACAGCATGAGCAGTGGAGGGAGCAGCATAGGAAGAGGGAGAAACAGACTCCTTGCTGAGCTGGGAGCTCAGATTGGGGGGTCGATCCCAGGACCCCAGGATCATGACCTTGGCTGAAGGCAGCCACTTAACCACCTGAGCACCCCTAAATTACATCACTTTAATATAGATAACCAAACTTATAGCCACTCATGTGGCTGATGGTTGTATAAAATATGCAATGTTAGGGTTATTCAGGAAACTGCTGACAGCATATTTTCAGCACACCATGAAGAAAAAGAAAAGAAACATTTTTGTATACCTTCTACTTTCTAGGTACTATTTAAAAAAAAATACTTCATTTGTTTATTTGAGAGAAGCAGACTCCCCACTGACCAAAAAGCCCCATCTGGGGCTTGATCCCAAGACCCTGAGATCAGCACCAAAGCCGAAGGCAGACATTGAAACCAACTGAACCATCCAGGCACCCCTAGACACTATGTTAATAGCTTTTGTTTCATCATCTCATTTAATCTTCTAAACACCCTCTCACTTAGACATCATTATACCTATTACACAGATGAGTAAACTAAGGCACAATAAGTTTAAATGACCCAGTCTTTGGTCTGTATAGATCCAAAGCCCTTACTCTCTCCACTATAGTGTATCATCTTCCCCAAGAAAGAGAAAACTTACCCTTATATACTCCTTAATGCTTTTAGACCTCTTCAAGTCAAGTATTTTTATCTTGACTTACAAAAGCTCCTACCACTATATCGACTTCAACAGTCCTCTTCAATTTCTTGTGGTTTGTTAAGGAACATTAGGATTCCCCAGGATAGGTGCTTGCAAGTTCTGAATTTCCACTCAGAGCTTAGAGGAAGAAATAGCACAGATTTCCTTGTCTGTCTGTTCCTTCCTTCCTTCCTTCCTTCCTTTCTTCTTTCTTTCTTTCTTTCTTTCTTTCTTTCTTTCTTTCTTTCTCTTTCTTCCTTTCTTTCTTCTTTAAAGCTCCTCAAATAAAATGAAACCTCTATTTTTCAGTATGTTGATTATTTTTAACTGCGTGCTGATAATAATTTTAAATTTCTAATATTATTCTTAAATCACTATCTTGCTTGAGTTTTTGAGTGCAACTTTGTGATTAAATTTATTCTCTTAATCATTATGTGTCAAAAGAAAAGGCATCCAGGCTTCCATCAACCTGGCTCGTTTGACTTCTGCTTTTTTCCCTTTTCTCTCCTTAAAATTTTCTTTTCCCAAAGGCACAACATTAAGAAAACCTTGACTTGGTTTGAAATTTTCAACAAAATGGCTAAAAGTCATATAGCATTATTTCTTTTCTTTTTTTTAAGATTTTATTTATTTATTTGACAGACAGAGATCACAAGTAGGCAGAGAGGCAGGCAGAGAGAGAAGGGAAGCACGCTCCCTGTTGAGCAGAGAGCCCCATGGGGGGCTTGATCCCAGGACCCTGGAATCATGACCTGAGCTGAAGGAAGAGGCTTTAACCCACTGAGCCACCCAAGTGCCCCTTTATTTTCTTATTATAGCTTTCATAAATAATATTTCTCAACATCTAATGCAATCAAATGAACAATTATTGAATCATAAAAGATGGGAACAGTCTAATCTGAACTAGACATGTTTAGAAATTAACCACATTTAAAAAAAAAAACACATCTACGAATTAAAGCAGGGGTGCCTAAGTGGCTCAGTTGGTTAAGCGACCAACTCTTCATTTTTGGCTCAGGTCATAATCTCAGGGTCCTGGGATCGAGCCCGTCATCAGGCTCTGTGCTTAGCATGAAGTCTGCTTAGACTGTCTCTCCCTCTGCACTCTCCTCTGCCCATGCTCTCTCTCTCTCAAATAAATAAATCTTTAAAAAAAGAAGAATTGAAGCATCTCTGATGATCCTCCTCTCCTACAACAATTTAAGTGATATGTAAATAATTTGTATATTAATCACATTTTCAATCAATATCAATCAATCCCAGCCAGGGTTTTCTAATCTAGCCCTTGAACTAGTCAGTGTCAATAAGGGTTCTGTGGAAATAAGTTTTAGGGACATTCTCAATACTCCATTGATCTCTCGGAGTTTCATATTATACATCTATTCAAGTATTTAATAGCAACTTTGAGAAAACCTGCTGTAAAGGTAACTATTTAATTTGTTTTGGTCGTGAAATTCTTCTTTGGCTTTTTAACTTTGCCTGTAACTACTGCTTCTTAGACCAGGCATTAGGAAATTTTGGTGTAATCATTTGCAAGTGGAAAGGTTTTTATACTCTGTAATGTTTTAAGTGCTCATTAATTAATTTTGTAGATAAACAAAAGAATAGGATATATGTGACTAAAACAGAATATCTAAAATTTCTAAATTTTAAACAGAAAATCTAAAATATCTAAAATTCATAATTGATTTTCATTACTCTAATTGATTTTCCCTTAGTAAAGAAAACCGGTCGTATTCAATTGCATTTTCCAATAGTTATTTTTATTTTTTAGCAAATAAGTAACACCAAGTTTTCAGACCAAGAAAATCCCCTAGACCTTAACCATTCTCTAGTGCAACCAGGTTAAAATCTTTGGAAAGTTCTCTAAGGGCTCCTTATCATTTGAACATCAAGAAGTAAGTCCTTGAGAGGTACCTGGATGGCTCAGTCAGTTAAGCGTCAGGCTCTTGATTTCAGCTCAGGTTATGATCTCAGGATTATGAGATTGAGCCCCGAGAGTGGCCCCACTGCATGGAGAGACTGCTTAAGATTCTCTCTGTCCCTCTCCCTCTGTCCCCTTCGCCTGCCCCCTCCCCACTGCTCACAGGCACACATACATATGCACTTTCTCCCTCTCTCTCTTCTCTCTCTCTCTTGAAGATCAAGATAGGTAGCAAGCTATGACTTCTATTCTACTCTCCCCTGAAACTGACCACAAGGATTCCAAAAGGGAGTCTGTTACAAATAAACAAGTATTTGTGGCTGTCCAGGGTCTTAAGTTTCTACACTGTTGTGTTCACTTTCAGCTGCAAATATGGAAAGCCAAGATCCAACTTCCTGTCCTTTTACCTCCTATCTAAAGCACTATACTCATATATAGGAATAAGAAATTGTGTGCTCTTTAGGGAGATGATTCAAGCATCTAGATAGAGTTCCAAAAATACCATTAATGGGGGTGCCTGGGTGGCTCCATCTGTTAAGCTTCTGACTCTTGATGTCAGCTCAGGTCGTCATCCCAGGGTCGTGATCTCAGGGTCATGGGATTGAGCCCTGTGTCTAGAAGGGAGTCTGCTTCTCTCCCGCTCCCTCTGCCATCCCCAGCTCATGCTCTGTCATTCTCAAACAACACACCTTAAAAAAACCAATACCATTAGTAATCTCTCTGTTTTTCCACTACATGTATATTAGAATGACTAAAATAAAAAACAAAAGAAAACAAAAAACACCGACAGTACTTTTTACTTACTGACAGCACTGGCATTACTTGAAGAAAGGGCCAGAAACTGGACCTCTCCTAAATTGCTGGTGCACATATGAGATGGTACAACCACTCTAGAAGTCTGGCAGTTTCTTACAAAATTAAACACACATTTATCATGCAACTCAACAATCATACTCCTTGAGTTTTATTGTAGAGAAATGAAAATTTATGTTCATGCAAAGGTCTATACAAAATACTCATAGCGATTTTAATTATCCTAGCCCCGGAGTAGAAACAACCCAAATGTCCTTCAACAGGCGAAGGATAAACAAATTGTGGGTGAGGCATACCACGGAATACGATTCAGCAATAAAAAGCAACAAACTATTATTATCTGCAGAAACATGAATCTCAAGGTAATTATGTTAAATTTTTTAAAAAGCCAACATCAAAATGTCATATACTATACGAGCCCATTTATATCATTCTTGAAATGAAAAAACCACAGGAATGGAGAACAGATCAGTGTTTGCCAGGTGTTGGGGAAGGCGAAGGGAAACTGTAAAGGGTACCACAAGGGAGCTCCATTGTGGTGAGTTCTGTATTTGATGTGGCGGAGTTCATATGAACCTATACATGTAATAAAATTTCACAGAACTATAACACATGTACCCAAAAAAAGTACATACAAGAAGCTCTGGAATCTGAGTAAAACCTATAGTCCAGTTAATTGTATTGTCTCAGTGTCGAATCCTGGTTTTGAAAAATGTATTATAGTTTTTCAAGATGTTACCATTAGGGAAAGCTGGGGGATGGGTCCAGGGAAACTTTCTGTACTATTGTTCAACCTCCTGGAGTTCATAATTTTTTTCAAAATAAGAAGTTTTTAAAAACTCGAAAAATTTCATCTGCTTTTTTTAGGAGGTAGGGTGTGGGAGAAATGGGTGAGGAGGGTCAAAAGGGATAAGATTATAAAATAATGAAGTCACGGGGACGTAATGCACAGTATGGTGACTACAGTTAACCATATGGTAGTGCGTACAGGAAAGTTGCTAGAAGGAATATCTTAAAAGTCCTCGTCACAGGGAAAAAAAAATTGCAACAATGTATGGGGACAAATGTTAACTAAACTTATTGTGGCGATCATTCTGCAATATATACAAATATTGAATTGTTACGTTGCACACCTGAAACTAATATGTTATGCATCAGTTGCATGTCATATCATGTTATATGTCAATAAGAAAAAAAAAATTTTCAACTGATTTTACGAAGGCTTATGTCTTGGGTCACTTTTGCAGATTCAGCTATGTAAAAGAAATACTCCGGCCAATCTTAAGTGTTGTGTCTGCCTCAGAACTCCCCCATGATTTTGCTCTCGATACAATTCCATACAACAAAACTCAGAGGTAAGACTTATGTTGATGTTTTTGGTTTTATGAAGCTAAGTCAGGCCTCACAGAGAGCAAATAAAGATAAATTTCAAATTTAAATTTAGAAAAGAGATGTTATCTAAACATACTGTTAACAACAATGGGATTTAACAGGGAAGGTGAGGATTGCACTGCAGTTTTGGGGACAATAGCCCTTAAGTGAAGAGGGAATTAATTACTTATTAACATTTTCCTTGGTATGAATGCATTAGAGAAAAACCAAAATAAGATAATCACGTAATGTGGACAATGATCTGATTAAACGCTTATGGGATTCACGGTGTCAGATGTGTGATTCTGGGAGTGGCGCATGGTAGGATTATCAGTGGAATTCAGTGAGAAGTTTTAAATTTCTTATGGATGATCTGAAGGTCTAAAAATACAAAGCTGATAAAAATAAAAATGCGAGGCCATGTTTAGCATATGGCATGAAACGGAACAGGCTTCTTGAGTGACCTGTAGAGAGTCATTTATATATTTATCCAAACTTGCCTTGGCCATATTTCCTTTATGCAGAGTTCTAGATGATTGGTTTAGCAGTGAAAAAATACATAAATTGTTTAAAATAATTTTTCATGGTCCAGGTCATGACTAGATCTCCAGCTACAAATGTTTCTCACTTTGCATCATCTTAATGACCCCTGAGGCATTCACTGTCTCTACTCTCTTTTAGGCACTCATTCCCAACAACTTGTCCATTTGAATGTCCTAAGAGACTTGCATAGCCATCTTAATATGTCAATACTGAGTTCATGGTTTGTTCTTACAAACTTGCTTCTGTTTCTGGAGTCTCAGTCTTGGTGAATGGTTTGAACGTCCATCCAATCCCCAAGCTGAAATACCCATTCCCTTTCACCCAGCCCTGCCTCCCAGGGCCACACGCGGCCCGCCCTCTCTCACAAATGTTTCCAAACTCAGACTCTACCAGCTATTGGAATTGCCATGCTCCCCTCAGCACGCCATCACTTTTGTGTTAAAACCTCCACTGGCTCCGTAAGACTAGATTTTAACTGTTTGCTACACAAACAAGAAATGACAATTACAAGATGTGATAGAAGTGTTACCTATTACTATCTATAATGAACACTACTGTAGTAATAACATTGCAATATATAAAAGTATTAAGCCAACATATTGCACACCTCAAACCTAAGCAATGTCATATGCCAATTATATCTTAATTTAACAACAACAACATGCCACCACTAACAACAAAGAAACCCCATTGGCTCTGTGTGATGTTGTATCAGTTTTCTAAGGTGACCATGACAAACTACCACAAACTGAGTGGATTGAAACAACTACAGAAACAGTTACCTTACAGTTTTGTAGGTCAGAAGTCTGACACAGGTCACACTGGGCAAAAATCAAGGTGTAAGCCAGGCTATGTTCCTTCCTTTAGACTCTAGGGGAGAATCAATTTCCTGCTCATCTGACTTGCTGGCAGAATTCAGTTCCTTCTGGTGGTAGGACCAATGTCCTCATTTCCTCTCTGGCTGTGGCCCTGGAGTTTGTTCTCAGTATCTAGAGGCTGCCCACATTCTTTGGTTTGTGGCTCCCTTCCTCCATCTTCCAAGCCAGCAATATGTGGCCAAAACCTTCCCATGTTGTCTCTCTCTGACCATTCTCCTGTCTCTCTTCGACCTGACAGACGTTCAGCTTTTAATGACTCCTGTGATTAGATTGGAGGAATCTAGGATACTCTGGGATAATCTCTCCATCTCAAGATCCTTAATTTTAATCATATGTGCCACATCCCCTTTGCCATGTAAGGTCACCTACTCCTAGGTTTGGGAGATTACGACGAAAATGTCTTTGGAAACCACTATTCCAACTTCACAGATGTGTTGAAGTTTTAGAAAAGCTTATACGTAAACTCTTCTTTTAGAACAGAAAACAACTGCGAGAGAAAGAACAGGACTCAAGACAGTTTTCAGGTCATGGAAATGTCAGCTTCACTGGTGATACTGCCAATTGACAGATGTGACTAGATCCATGGCAAATGGCTTTTCTAATACTTCACCCCTGAATTAGACAGGTTTTCCTACCCAGACACTGGCCAGTAGCCTTAGACGGAGGATGCTCCTGTGAGCATACCTGTGGAAGAATGGAACTCTGCAAATTCAGTTCCATCCCCAAATTCATCATCCCCAATGAACACAGTTCCGGAGAGGAGTGTGAAAGCGATAGGGGGACGGGACAGGACAAGTTCTTCTCCATGAAAACATGACAGAAGTAGACAAAAGGAGACAGAAGGTCCCTCATCACAGTCTACTGACTGAATCCACACTTCAAATACCGTGTCTTTCACAGTCAACACCCACCCACTCTTTTATCTCCTGTCACTGCCCCTCTCGAACCCTGCATTCCTGCACCTGGGTCTTCTCACTGTTCCCAAACATACCAATTCCCTGCTTTCCTGTTTGCCATCTTCTCTACCTAGGCGATCTCTCCAGTCTTTGTGGTAAACTTTTACTCATTCTTTAAAGGCAACAGCGCATGACTCCTCTGAACACAGCTCTGTAGCTCCCTCCAAACTCCCTTCTCTTGAGGTCTTACCTCCTCATGGGTTTTCAGCGTCTCGCAGTGGTTGGATTTGGGACATAATGGAATCTCATTAAGTGTTTTTGAATGATCTTCATGTTTTGAGTGATATTTATTCAAGAATTTCTCTGCCTTTCTGCCTTCCTCTTGAGGGAAAGGATTATATCTTATTCATCATTTTAGCCCCAGCACTATATCCATGCCTGATACATAAAATGTTCTGCATAAACTTCTCTTAAAAGAATATGTAAATTAATGATTTAATTGGTTCCCTCCAAAGCAGAGTATATTATTGGAGATGTCTGCATAATTATATCTGGATTCTCTGGTGTATTAGTTGCTATTTTTGAAGGGAACTTCTAATATATAAATCAAGAGCCCTTCTTGTGGCCAACAAAGTCCTAAAGTCCACATTCCTTGCCCTGATTACCAAACATACTTTCCTGGCTTGTTGCCTTATTTTGTTTTGATTTTATAGCTAGTATAACTACATACATAATACTATACTAATGTTATGCTATATTAGGTTATGTATATTATATTATGTGATATATTGGTTTATTTTCTTTCTGTGCATCTGTACTATAAGCCCCATAAGAACAGTGATTTTGTTTTATTTAATATCTCAAACAGTAGTTGCTATATAATAGGCATTAATTAATCTTGTTCAATGAATGAAAAAATGAATGAGATACAGTGGAATGAGAGGAGAAAGTAAGACTTTGAAATCAGAGAAGACTGGGTTAAAATCATAGTTCTTTGCTTTTCCTAGCTGTATGGCCTCAAGCAAATCATTTAACATTTAATAATGTTAAATTCTTGCATGGTTGGTGGGATATTGGCAACAATATATATAAAATATCTGGCACACACTAAGCGTTCAAGAAATGGTGGCTACAATTATGTCACTTGCTTTCACAGTTAAGGACATTATGTTAAAATTATTAATGAAGATGAGTTTCTTTCATGCTGACCAAGTACACCTTTGCGCAGCCTTAACTGGGAATGAAATGAAATTATAAGGTGTATACTTGATTGCAATCAGCAAAATCAAGTATCTTTAATGAAGTGTCATGATAACCACCAAACTTATTAAGAATACTATGAAAGGATTTTAAATATTCCCAAGAAAGAAATATTTCAACGTCATCCAAAAATCTCTCCAAGTTTCCTGTTCAACCCCTGCAACATTCAGCCAAGATGGCAGTTATAAGGCACCTTGGCCTCTGTAAAACCAAAACGACTTTTTGGGCATATACAGTCTGATTCATTTAAACCAAAAAAAGAGAAAGAAAAGAAAACCCAACCTTTCAATTTCCAGAATGTTCTGTTGCATCTGCATTTACTCTAGATTCTACAGTAAATTCAATGACAGCTTTAAGTTAGATAATATTATAGTTTTTTTATGTTCCCTTATCTTGATTATTTTTAAATTAACCATTATTTTATGTCTGGTAGCTTATGGATTTCAATGAAATTTTTTACCCATTGTGTCTGTAGGTTAGGCAAACATGGACACAGCAGATCCCTCATCTTGATTAAACTTGTACCATCCTATAAAACAAGGCTAGTTTTCACTCTTTGTTGTTGAAAAAGTTGTGGCCCAATGCAATCTGACTCTCCCACAGCTCAAGAATCAAAAGCTGGTTGGTATATGACATCATGGAAAGTACACAGCTTTTAGAAAAATCTGATTGAGCTCAGATCTGCAACGGACTGTGTGTCCTTGTCTATTCTCCAAGCCCTATTCCTCCTCACCTGTAAAAATGGGGTTTTTAGTCTCACACAAGGCTATGGCCAACACTTAAATGAAAAACCTATATGTGTGGGGATCTTTAAATGTAAGTCTTTATGCATTTTTAATATCATGGGATTAAAGCATAAGTCTCTGACAGAGTTTAGCGGTCTTTTAATACATTTCCATATATCCCATGTGAAACAAATAACAAATAAAACCCCCAAAACACGTGATATGTCATTTCTTTGCTTTGTTTTCTACTCCTCTGGTTGAGTGTTATCGTGTTCCTGAACCACCTCTAAAAGGCATGTTCTACCTGCATTACTGAATCATAATCAACTCATTTATTCATTCAATGGATATTTATTAAGCACCTATAATAGGCCAAACAGTGTATTAGACATTAGACTTGCATTATTGAATGAAACAAGTAAGGCTTTTTTTTTTTTTTTGGTCTTTTCTTTTTTTAAAGATTTTATTTATTTATTTGACAGACAGAGATCACAAGTAGGCAGAGAGGCAGGCAGAGAGGGGGAAGCAGGCTCCCTGCTGAGCAGAGAGCCCGATGAGGGACTGGATCCCAGGATCCTGAGATCATGACCTGAGCTGAAGGCAGCGGCTTAATCCACTGAGCCACCCAGGTGCCCACAAGTAAGGCTTTTATTCTCTTGGGAAAGCCCAAACCCCACAAAACTGAATAATAAAGCAACACAAAATAGTAGGTATTTGGATTAGGATTTGAGCTATAATGAAAATAAAACAGGGTGTTGTGTTACCGAATTACTTGGGGCATTGATAAAGGGGTGTCTTAAGGACACTACTCTTAGGGAAGACTTAGAGAAGACCTCTTTGAGAAACCAACAAACTAAAACAAGGATTCGGAGTCACCTCAGTAAAAACCGCAGCGAGGGTTGTGGATTTTGTTCTGTATTTAGTGGAGGATCACTGTGGAAGCTAAGAAGACAACGTTTTGTAAGGGGGTAAAAGTGGAAACAAAGAGATGAATCAGGAAGCTGTTTATCATCAAGGAAAAGCAATAAAGGTAAGAGCATAGAAAAAGATAAAGTGCGGGCCCTTCTTCAGACAGACAACCAGGGAAGCCGTATCTGAGGAAAACTGTTGGAGACGGACTGGAGCACAGGGAGGGAGGAAAAGTATTTCAGGTTGCTGGAAGAGGCTAGTGAGAAGGGGGTGGGTGTAGGAAGCAGAGATGACAGTCTCTGCAGATGGAGTGGATGTGGGGTGTCAGGGGAAGAGAGACGGTCAGGTTTGAATAGTTCTACTGACTCAGAGAAATCTAGGTGAGGAGAAGATTTTTGAAAGAATGGGCAAATCAAGAATTTTTTTTGTGTATGAATGATCATTTTAATTATCTGTTGAATATACCAAAGGAAATCCACAAACCTTTTATTAGAAAACCAATGACAGCTTCCTTCTCTGTCACGGCTCCATTTTTCAAAGGCAAACTTTGGCTGCCACCTCCAACTCCCCTGCCCCCTCACATGACAGAGAAGGCTCCAGGCTGAGGGCTCTGCTGAGAAAGACACCTGCCCCAGATTAAGACGGTGGAAGGCAAGATCACAGCATAAAGGCATGCTCCTGGAGAATCAAATTTACTCGAAGTTTGAGGGAAAACCAGTATTTTCACAAAATAAAAAGAAACACAAATAAAAAGATTAATATATGGAACAGAGTGAAACATTTGCATGGATTTTAAAGATGAAAAATGGACAAAAATTACAATAAAAATACACAGCTTTCGTGTATAACACTTTAGGAAGACAACTTCTACATAAATCAAAGGAGAGATGTTATCATTCTGAAATAAAGAAAATGAGAATTATTGATTCTTACCTCTAGTTTAACTGTTTAAAAAGAGAAAAATTGGAGGAGGCATGAAATACTTCGTAAACTAGAAACTGAAGACTTGTATGGCAAACTTCATTGATACTGACACATCCTTAGGACTCAGGTTAAGAAATTGATTGCTTGGGGAGCCTGGGTGGCTCCGTGGGTTAAAGCCTCTGCCTTCCCAGCCCAGGTCATGATTCCAGGGTCCTGGGATTGAGCCCTGCATTGGGCTCCCTGCTCAGCGGGGAGCCTGCTTCCTCCTCTCTCTCTCTGCCTGCCTCTCTGCCTACTTGTGATCTCTGTCAAATAAATAAATAAAATCTTAAAAAAAAAAAAAGAAATCGATTGCTTTTCCATCACTGGTTTTAAACACATAATTACCCTGTTTAATTAGTTTATTTTCTATTTACTTTTCTTATCTCTATAATCATAATTCTGGGATCAACGGTATTCTGTTTCTACAGTTTGGCAAGCAACCTGCTAATTAATTAAGCAACCCATTAGTTTTATAGGAGTAAAAGCAACCCAGGCATTTCTTTGGCATCATATACAAATGAAGTTGGTCACTTTTCATTGTTTGATTTTACGGAATTTGATGATCTGCAACTGAAATGCTAAAATACTTGGGGGCCTTGTTTTAACCTGGTAAAATCTGAGCAAATGTCACTGTCTGTCCCTGGGTCTGATTCTGCTGTGCCAGGCTTCCCGGGGCAATTTAGGTAATCTGTTATTCAGATATATCTGCAGTGCCAAGTTTCTATTTATACAGGAAAGGAAGTGATTTTCTATTTGTCCCCCTTAAAAGAAAACCCTGAGGGACAGATTATGGTCAGAGTACTAATGCTTAAGTTATTGAGGCAGAAATAACTTGGGCAAAAAAAAAAAAAAAAATATATATATATATGTAATATATTACATATATAATAATATATTATATTATTATATAATGTATGTATATATTACATATACATATATATTACATATATAATATATGTAATAATATATTACATATATTTCATATAAGATATATATTATATATATGAATGAAGTGGTCCCAAGAGGATTAACATATTATAAAACTCCTCCACATCAACCTCATTAGACAGTTCAATGATGATTTTTCTATTGTAAGTACACTGCATTTTTATTCACAATGGTATTAAGAAAAAAAAGAATAATTATCTTTTCTCGCATTTTAACAAAAGATTTTACAATGACGAAATAGTTTACTGAAAATAGCACTTGAGAGGTCTGTTATAATTCTATTGTTACTTTTAGAGCAGATGCCATGTCACATGCAAAATGCCAAGACCACAGAAAAATATTTTTAGCTGGGTAAAAATATGTGACATTTAAGGAAGAAATGGTAGTGCTTTGATTCATTTGTTAATTGAGCACTTCAACATTTTCTATACACAATTGTTTGAGGTTACAGAATGTAAAAAAGATGCAGTCCTTGCCCTCATGCAATTTATATTTTTAGGCAATTGAGATAAACTGTTCTTTAATAGCTTCTGTGGGAGGTAAAAAGAACGGCAGCTAGATCAAATGTATTCTCAGTACGTATTCCTAGTATTGGTTTTAATATGACAAAAGATGATAGCTCAGGCTGGGAAGGGAAAAAAATACCTTAAACAAGCAAAATGAGCTGGCCTGAGGATAAGCTGGAAGTGGGAGAGAAACCTTGTAGGGCGTAGAAGAAGCTTACGCAACCTTGAGGAGAGACTAGATAGATGGGGTTTTAGAGGAAGAGGACAGAGATTATATCAACTCGCTGGCAAGTTCTGTTTAGCAATATTTAAGGTAAAGAAACGTAAGATAGGCTAGAAAAAGATGACATGTTCAGAGCATAAGGTCTGGACTTAGAGAATAAAAGCAAATACTTTAAAATTTCGGAAGTCTTAGAAGTCTATCATATATGGACAGCAAAGCTACAGATAGCAAGACAACTACATGTGTGTACTGGGTATGCTGTAAATAGCACCTCAATAATTTTTAAACACAGACACACATACAAAACCACTGTCATTTAAAAGTAAGTTGTCTTCTGTCTCCTAAAATGAAGACTTAAGTTTCATTTTGGGAGAGATTTTTTCACTGTTCTGTAAAAAATCATAACATTGGAAGCAGAGGGTTTAGCGGGAGAGGGAGAAAGAGCAAGGAACCACTCACAGCCTCGGGGAAGAGCTAAGTGCAAAGAATTAAATCAAATATATATCCTACAAACATAATGGCTGGGTTGTTCAGTTTAGAGTTCTAGACTGGGTGTGTTGTTAGGAATTGCAGGTCCCTGCAAATCTTATTTGTGATCATCTTTCCTTTCCTAAAAGTGGGTCTAGATTGCTTCTACATGTATACTGTGTCTTACTGTCAGGAGGTATGTCTATCTTCCCTTGCCGAAGCAGCTACCTACTGATGACGGATGAGGAGACCCTGAAATCTGAAAGACATAATGACCTGAGGTTCCCTTCATCTTATAGCCATGTGTTGAAGAGGGTAGACGGACATTTACTCAGCCCACCCTGGACAGCCCTAGGGATCTCTCACATGTAAAGATAGTTAAGACAAATAACATACAACTTGGTAAATGTACTGAGATTAAATCATTATATTCTCATGGCTTTTTATAGTTATTATAAACCTAGGCATAGAATAGGGTATGTCTCTGTGGTGGGTGAAATAATGGCTCCCAAAGAGGTCCAGGCCTGATTCTCCAGAGCCCATGAATATGTTTTGTTACTTGATGAGGGAGAAATTAAGGTTGCTAATCAGCCGACCTGAAAATAAGGAAACTGTGCTGGATGGTCAGGGTGGATCCGATGAATTACAGGGCTCCGGGAGAACCAGAGGAGATGTGACAATGGAAGCCGTGGAGGGCAGTGTGACGTGAGACAGACCCCACCCACCGCTGCAGGCTTTGGATGTGGAAGAAGGGACGGCAAGCCGAGGAATGCGGGTAGCTTCTAGAAGCTGGAAAGGATATGGGAACCAATTTTCTGCTAGAGACTCTAGAAGCAGGGCAGCCTGCCAATGCCTTGATCTTAGCTGATTGAGAATCATTTTGGACTTCCGACCCTCAGCACTGTAATGTAAAACATTTATGTTGTTTTAAGCCACTAACTTTGTGGTAGTTTGTTACAACAGCAAATGGAAACTTATACAGTTTCAAGTGCAGCAGGTTACTGAACACCATCATCCCAGAAGACAGTCAGCTTAGGAGCAAGAAAACAAAACTAAGGGGACAAGCCTGGATTGCAAATTTCTCCTCTTCCTAGGCATCAGAGCCCCTATGTTAAATTTCATGGGATGGAGATAAGCAGAACACCTGTATGGTAGAGAGTAAGGCAGCCCTCATTAGACCCAGAGTGAGGCAGAAAAGTGCCTGAAAAGTAATCATAATGGGGCACCGGGGTGGCTCAGTCTGTTAAGCTTCTGACTTGATTTTGGCTCAGGTCATGATCTCAGGATTGTGAGACTGAGTCCCAAGTTAGGCTCTGCACTGCTTAAGGGCTGCTTAAGATTCTCTGTCTCCCTCTGCCCTTCCCCTCCCCACCTTCTCTAAAAGGAAAAAGAGAGAGAGAGATCCCAAGCCATGATCATAGACTTGCAAAGGTCTCTTTCTTTCTCTTGAAAACTTCTGCAGAGTATCTTTAACCATGACTGATTGGTAACTCTTGGCTATGCAATGAGAAACTGAGCATGCTCAGTAGGGAAAGCATTTTGTCCCTTCCCCCAAAGGGTAGTGAGGACCATGGCAGTCATCAGCAGAGAACAGCACATCCAGCAAAATGCTGATGCCACAGGAGGAATGTGTAGGAGTAAGATCAGGGTGAGGCGGGGGTGGGTGGAAGTAGAGGGTAAAGGGGTGGCATGGCTGTGCATTGTTTAGATCCTCTTACAGAAAAAGCTGGGTGTAATATATGACAATGCTCACCTGGGATCAAACTCAAGTAATCATAATTTGGGTTTAAGCAATAAATATAAGATTTCTGACTCACAGTAATGAACAAAACTACAAAAGAAAAAATTAAGAAATTTAACTAAGCTCAGAAATGACATGGACAAAACCGACCTGAAGCAGAACACGCTGGAAAGGAAGAGCACATGAGGACGTCAATGCCAAGCGATAGA